ATGCAGGTGTGGCAGGAGATTTACTTATGCCTCCCACCTGGATCAAGCCAGACATGCCTGGCAGTATGCAGAGCAGAGTAGAGGCTCTAACACTGGGGCGAATCCTCTTGGAGGGCCATCCCCATGGACAGCACCGTACCTGGGCTCCTGGCGGCCCCGGTGAACTTTTCGTATCGGGCCCCCCTTCAACAGAGATACTGATAATAATAATCAGACAATGGGGAAAAAAATTACCATTTTCAGGCCCCCTTTCTGTCCAGGCCCCAGGTGGCCACCTGGTTCGCCCACGCCTGTGTCTGGCCCTGCCCGTGGACTGCAGCAGGTGTGCAGAGGAGCCTATTGCAAGAGTGGGACTTAAATCCACTGTACGTGCCTCTAAAACCAGTTTAAGGCCAGGTCTGCTCCCACAGATCACATCAGCCAGGCCGGGCTGTGTTTTCAATGATCGTTCTACCCTCGCAAAGCCCCTTGTCTAGACACAGATGCATCCTCAGACGCTTGCAGCTCTGGCTTCTTTCGCTCGGGAAGCGATGTATGCAATGCCAGCCAAGGTCCCTCCTTTCTCCCTGCCTTGGGGGGCTCTCTATATATGTCTCTCTATATGTGAGGTTATATGCATCTACACTCTACCTATTACATTTGCTCGTACTAAGTTACAAGGGCAAGTTCAGCTCAGACCCAGCCTGGCACACGAGCTGCTTCGTTCCACAGCTGGCGCCTGCCCTGCCGGTGCTGCAAGGCCAGCCCAGCCGGGCTCTTTGGGCTTGTCTTCCAGCCATAAATGAAGCAAGTAACCTTGCTTTGGGCTTGCACTAGGCTTCAGCAGAGAACATATGGCTCCTCTCTCTCTCTCTCTCTCTCATTTTTGCAAAAAAAAAAAAATTCTATCGATCGATCGATCGATCAATCGATCGATCGATAGATATAGATATATAGATATATATAAACGTTACCTGGAACACTCTGCCAAGTGGCCTTTGTGGTTCACTTGGCAGATCAAAGCACACTAAAAACCCGTTACACAGTCCGCACCGCGTAACCGCATGCCCGTGCACCCCATCTCCATACCCATACCCCCAACCGCTGCCCTCCTCAGAGGGTCTCTTGGATCGTGGTTGGCTTTGTGCCTGTCAGGTGCTCGGTGTCCAGCAATCGGCCCATGTGGATGCACGCACATCTCTGCTGTGGGGAAAGGGCCAGTTTGTTGGCTAATGCAAGGGAGGAGATGGTTTCCCCAGTACCTGTAGCAGGCGGTCGTGGCTGGGCCAGCTGTCTGTGATGATGTCTCCATCATTGGGGTTCAGTTCTCCTCGCTGCCTGGAGCAAAACACTGGGCCTGGTTTTCAAGCCATGGGGGCTTGCGAATGCTCCTTCCCGCAGTGTGGCGTGCAGAAGCTGGCGGGAGCAGCAGCCCGTGCTGTCTGCCTCCGGCGCTCTCGGCTGACCCGTTACTCCGGGTCCCAACAGGACAGGGGAGGGACAGCGCGGCACGGCCAGCATTTCGAGATGGGGCCGTGCCGTAAAGCTCATTACGCAGATTCCTCCAGCGCTGGGGAAAACATTCACGCCCCCGGGATCCTCCACCGGACAGGCCTGCAGGATCTCCAGGGCTGGGGGCATGATTGGAAACACTCTTCAGTTTCCCCATGGCTCTGACAGCCCCAGGGCTAATGTGAGGCCTTGCGAATCTGTTTTGGTCAAGGGCTCGCTCGGTGGAAGGGGCCAGGGTGTGCCCAGGGCTGCTGTTATTCACGGTGCCAGCCCGCAGGTAGAACCACAGGCTCGGATCGGAGGTTTCCTGCCCTCGCCCAGCCCGGCCGGCTGGGTGTGGTGTCACGTATGCAACCCATGAAAGCCCGGGCAGGAGGACGTGGCTCTGGAGAGCCCGGGAGCGTCTGTCTGACTTGGTGGCGGGGTTCTCTAAGGCTCACCACATCAAAGGGGTGCCACGCTCCCAGTGGTTTGCTGCAGCCCTGGCACGGGCCCCTCACTCTGTGTCGCACCCCATGCACACGCAGCACGTGTCGCACGCTTTCTCGCAGGCCTGCGCTCTCCTGCAGCGGGGGTTAGCCCGGCGTGCCTGACCTGCCATGGTTTCCTGCAGGTGTGTTTGGGGGAAGAGCTGCATCGTGGGGAGCTGCCCAGCCTGGGCTGGATGCCAGCCCTCTCGACAGAGCTTCTGGGGAGCCCTGGCACCCAGCCCGGGCACGCCAGCTCCTGCCTGAGCTGGAGGAAGATGCAGCCCTTGCCAGGTCTGGGAGCAGGATTTCTGTCAGCTGCAGACCAGCTCCGCAGTCAGGGCTCTCGGGCTGGCACAGAGGCAGCGCGTCCTGCTCTTGCCCGAGGCGTCTGCTGCAGGATGGTGGTGCAGCTCCATGCAGACCCCCCCCAGCTCCACGGCCTTGGTGCCACCCGGATGAACATGCCCTGGGTCCCTGCAGCCGGTGGGGCCTGGCTTCGGGGTCGCCGGGAGCAGTGCAACCTGGCGGCCCCCTCCTTGCGGGGCATGGCATGTAGGGCGGGCTCAAGGGACCCACAAACCCACCCCCTTGGGCTACTGTCCCCCAGGGGAGGCCAAACCCTCCTGCACTGAAGGCGAAGGCTGAACCCAAGGCCCCACAAAGTAGGGCAGGGCCCCCCAGGATGGCTTTCCTCTGAACAGGAGGGCAACTAAATCCTCCATCTGGCCTCTCTTTTTCTGGCCGGGGTGAGAGAGGGGCCATCTCCCGGCATGCGATTGGCTAATCCCCGTGTAATCCCTGGCACGTGACGCCTGGGGACCACGCGTGTCCCTTAAACAGGCTGTCAGCATGAGGGTGCCTGGCTGTGCTCCTGGCCCCGGGGCTGCGTGCCCCGGCGGGGACCCGGGCAGCTGCAGAGGAGTCGGGGAGGGACGGCAGAGGGAGGAGGCATGGCCCGGTTGGCGAGGGCTGCCTGCGGCTGCATGGGGCAGCGGAGGAGGTGACACCACCACGTAAGTGCGACGTGCTGCCTTGGTGGGCTCGGGGCTGGCATGGAGTTGGGGTCTCAGCTGCCACCGCCCCCGCCCTGCCAGGTCAGCTGGGAAGGGGCTGGGCACTCTGTGATGGGAACTGGTGCCCGCTTGGGAGAAGACTCCTGCCCCTGGTTGCGTGGTGCATCTCTCCAGGGGCCGTGGGGCATCCCAACGGGCTGCGCCAGGCTTTCCGCAGGGAGGGTGCTGGGGTCTATGCTTGCCCCCAGGTCCCCCTCTCTGCCCCCGCCTGCACCACCCCCTGCCCCTACAGCCAGCGCCGTCCCTCCACACCCATGCTTTGCACCCACCAGACTGGGCACTGGCTGCATCCCACCTGTCCACGTCACCCCGGCACATGTCGGCCGCCCCAGATTTCCCTGGGAGTCAGAGCCGGGATAGCAATGCCGGGTGTTGACAGGGAAGGAAAGCCCCGCTCCCCACCTCCACGTTCGCACTAAGACATCGGGGCTCAGTGTAGGAGAGCGTGACTGGGACCTGGGCGGGGAAAGGGGCACAGACACAGGGCAGATGGAGCCGCGGGGAAGGGGCACCAGGACATCCAAGGGGCTGGAAGGACGAATTGAGCCAGAAACGTTTAGAGGTGTGGGGCTGTGGGCACCAGTTGAAGCCCGTCTGCCGGCTACTGTGGACACAGGACAGCCCGGCAGCAGCGAATCAGGCCCCTTGCATTCGCCCCGATGCAAACAGCTTTTCCCGGAGCCTGAGTGTCTGCTGCAGGCTGTCCCGCGCTGCCCGTTCTCCGCAGCCTCTGCGCTGAGATCCGTCTTGGGGTGTCCCTTTGGGACTGTTGCCCAGACAGGGAGGGGAGAGGGCATGGGGCATTCTGCAGGGTTGGATGGGAGCCTGGGCCATGCCCGGAGCTGGTTGCTAACAGGCTGCTCTTGCCCCTCTCCCACCAGGCTCCCCCATGCTGTGGCCGGAGTGAAGGGCCGGCAATGAGGGGAGAGACCAGCCCCGTGCCACGCTGGAGGGAGGCGGACTTGGAGGCGCGATGCACCTACGTCGTGAAGGACCAGCCACCCGCCCGACCCCACCTCCCACGAACGCAGGCCTCCCTGGGCCGGACCCTGGCCTTCCCGCGCAGCCACGCCAGTGAGGTGGGTGCTGGGCAGCGGGTGGGGGCTGCTGGGGGGCCCTCAAGGGCTTTGCCCCACCAGGGGAGGGGCACTTGTGCGTGTGTGTTCAAATATGCGCCTGCATGCACGCTTGCAGGCTCACCCATGCATCCCCCTGTGGGTTCACATGCGGGTGCATTTATGCGCATGCAGGCATAGTTGTGTGCTCCCACTGGCAAGCTTTTGCACACTTACACACGTGCCTGCTCACATGGAGGGAGGTCTGTGTGCCCCCTCTTGCCCAAGTGCCAAACACGCATATGCAGTCATGCACTCACATGCATGCACACACATACAAACAGGCACACGTAGGCACATGCATACTTGCATACAGGTGCATGTACATACTCACATGCGCTGCATGCATGGGCACACACGTGTGCCCATGCATGCACACGCATGCACACATGTGCATTCATCCATTCCTGCAGCTGCTTATTAAAAGACCCAGGTGGCTGCTCCCCCCCAGGCACAGAGATGCTCAGAGCCCAGCCTGCCCGCTGACACACAACAGCCATGTGTCCAGGGACACACACATGCACGCATGCTGCCACATCCGGTGCGTGCTGATATCGCACACCATCAGCCCTGCATGCCTGTCCCACGCACTCGAGCGCCCGCACCTATCTCACACCATCAGCAGGGCCAGGCAGGCAGGAAAATGCCTGCTCCCAGCCCTCAGCTTCCTGCGGCGAGAGACTGCGGCACCCAGGCCCAGGCTGGGCTGTGAGAACCTCCTGGCTGCCATGAGCTCCCAGCAGGGCAGGGCAGCCTCCGGTGTGGTCTGCACCAAGTGACAGTCTCTGGGCTCCACTTCCTCCCCTCAAAGCCTGAGAGCGAGGCAGGCAGCGGTGGCAGGGGGTTGAGGGGGTGGGCAGCAGCCTTAGCCCATGAACCCCCTCCCCAGGTAGCCTGGATACCTTGGGACAGGCGCCCAGAGATGCCAGGGCAGGTGGGGGACACAGAAGGCATTTGCTCCCCTGAGAGCAACCCCCAGCTGTGGCACAGGTGCAGGGGCAGGGGCACAGGTCCCCGGGTGCTGGTGCCCTGTGGAAGCAAAGCCTGCTGTGCCCAGAGCAAGCCCTGCCCCTGCCCCCTCGCAGGGAAGGGCTTCCGTTCCTCTCTGCCCACCATAAATGGAGGGGGCTGGGAGTAGCTGCTGGGAAGAAGGGAGATTTGGAGGACGACGGGGCCGGGGGAGGAAGGAGGGGCAGGTTCCAAGGAACCCATGCAGAGGAAGTGAGAGACAGAGAGGGGCAGGGGCATTCCCAGGCTGGGATTTTCCTGCTGCATCACCCCCTCGGCTTTCCTCTCCAGGCGGGAGCCGGGAGCTCACCTCACCTGCAGGAGAGCTGGCAGGGGGAGCTGGGCCGGCCAGGGGATCCTAGAGGTCTCTGGGTTTAAACTGGTGCCCCGTGCTGCAGATGCTTCATGGCTCCCAGCCAGTCCTTGCTTGCATGAAGGCAAAGGTTGCGGCCGGGGCCGGGGGGCTGGGACACCTGGGCTCTGCTTTTGCATCTGCAAGGGGCTGGGTCCTTTCCCTGAATCTAGGGAATGCGAATCAGGGGCTGTTGGGCTGGGCGCGCCCGGGAGCCAGGACTCCTGGGTTGTGTTCCCACATGGGGACGGGCCCTTCCTGTCCCCTGCTCTGTGCTCTGCTCCCCGCGGGTTGCTGAGCTGAGCCACGGGGCTTCTGCCTTCACGACATGTGCTGCTCTCTCCCTTCGCCCGCTGCAGGTCTACGCCCCGGGGGCGCAGCTCCACCACGTCCTGGGCACCCGCGACCTGCGCTGCCATGACTGGATGCGCTATATCAACCCTGCCCTGGGCACCGCCGCCCAGAACCTGGTGGCCTGCCAGCATGACCGGGACATCTACTTCTACGCCCTGGCACCCATCCCGCCCGGCGCCGAACGCCTCATGTGGCCCGGCCGCGAGGTCGCCCAGCGCCTGCAGTGCCCGGCACTGGCTGCAAAGCTCGGTGAGGGGCGGTGGGGGGGAGAGGTTTGCCCCCAGGCACCTGGCGTCTGATCACCACGGTGGGGCAGCTGCCAGGAGAGGCCTGGCAGCAGGGAGCAGTGGGGGGCTGTCCCCTACCCATCCTCCTGCTCCAGGCGCCCGGAGTAATGGGTTCTTGCTTCTTCCCTGCAGAGCCCCAGGGTGTGGGCACGCCCTGCCCAGAGCCAGGCTCGAAGATGCCGGCATCGGCGGGCACCCCAGACTGCCAAAGCCTCAGCACTAAGCACACAAAAGAGGAGGAGGAAGACGAGCGTACAGACGTCCAAGGGCTGGGCAGGGGCATGGGAAGCCGAACAATGGAGGTCTCCCGTGCCGTCTGGCCGTGGCCCCCGGGGCTCAGCTTGTCCCACGATGCTGCTGGAGAGGCGTCTGGTTCTGCGTGCCAAAGAAACGGGAACGCCCTGAGCCAGCCGGGCCTCGGCCTCTGCCCCTGCAGCCTAGCTACCTCACCGCGCCCGGAGCTGCAGCGGCACCTCAGCGGCCTCTCCCCCTCCTGCCCGCTGTACTGGCCCCCCGGGTACCTCTATGCCTGCAGCCCCAGCCTAGCCCACTGCCCCCGGGTGCTGCTGGTGCCTCACGCCTCGCCCTTCCCACCACTGCCCGCACTGAGCAGGGCAGGGGAAACCTCCCCCTTGGGGCTGCCTTCCCAGGGGTACGGCCAGGCCCTGCGGGAAGGCTTGGTCCCATACCCCGGAGCCCACCGAACTGTCCCACCGCCGCCCCTCGGCAAACAGGACGACCCCCAGCTCCAGAAGCCGGGCTCCCTCGCCCTGGGCTCTGGCTCCGGGCTCCAGCCATGCCTGCACCCCGGCGCGGACACTGCCCCCCGCTCCAAAGCACAGCCACAGAGACCTACCTCCCGGCTCGCCCTCCAGCTGGACGCCGTCAACCTCAGCATGCCAAAGACCCCCCGGCCCGGGGCCTTGCCCCCGAAGAAGCAGAGCAGCAGGCCCAAATACGAGTGCAACATCTGTGCCAAGACCTTCGGACAGCTCTCCAACCTCAAGGTACTGGGAGTTAGGAGACCGGTGTTCAATTCCTGGCTCCGCCTGGAGCTGCTCGGTGATCTCTGCCAGTGCCCTGTGGCTGTGCCTCAGTTTCCCCAAACCCAGGGGGTTCACGACACGGGGCTCCCTCTCTATCAAGGGCTTGGGGGTGCTTGGAGGAAAAGCACCTGTTAGGCTTTGCCTTCGATCGAGCAGTATCCTAGACCTCCTCCGCATGCCTTCTACCCACATGGCCACGTGCCACCCGCTTCTCTGCTGGGGTTGAGGGATGCTCGGGGCTGAAGAGGTGGGGGGCTGTTACCCTGGACAGCATGTTTGGGTGGCCTGGACTGCCCTCCTGGCTCCAAAGCTCCGTGGCTCGTCTCTCCAGTGTCTTCCCTCTCCTCCCCGTGTCTGTCTGTGTCTGCCCTCCCGCCCGGCCCCGGCAGGTCCACCTGCGTGTGCACAGCGGGGAAAGACCTTTCCAGTGCCCCGTCTGCAAGAAGCGCTTCACGCAGCTGGCTCACCTGCAGAAGCACCGGCTGGTCCACACTGGCGAGAAGCCCCACGAGTGCCTGGTAGGGGAGCCTCCCTCCTGCTTGCACCTGGGGGCTGGGGAAGGGGACTCCCTCCAGCCCACTGGGGTCGCATCAAGGGGGTGGGTGCAAGCGCCGAGACCGTCCAGCTGTGGTTGGGGTGGTGGGGAGGGGTGAGGACAAAGCCCTGGGGGCCAGCAAGAGTCCTCGGTGAGTGGCTAGGAGCGGGCCCCATTGCACAGGCGCCCGGGAGCTGCTGCGGTCGTGTCACACGTGTCTCTCTGCTTCCCCTCCCAGGTCTGCCACAAGCGCTTCAGCAGCACCAGCAACCTCAAAACACACCTGCGGCTGCACTCGGGTGAGAAACCCTACCAGTGCCCCCTGTGCCCGGGCCGCTTCACCCAGCAGGTCCACCTGCGGCTGCACAGGCGCCTGCACGAGCTGGAGCGCCGGCACCGCTGCCCTCACCTGCACCCGCTCAGCCTGGCGCTGCACCAGCGTGCCTGCCACCCCCGGGTGCCCGGCGCTACCCACAACTTTGGCCTGGAGGGTGAAGGGGCCGATGCCAGCCAGGCCGTGGGGCTGGCGGACAGTCTGCTCCAAAGGGAGGCAGAGAGGGGCACTCCGAGGCTGCTCCTCATGGACAAGGCCTCAGGCTCGGCCCTGTTGCCCCTGCCCCACTACGGGCTGCCCGTCAAGCAGGAAGCCTCCCCCATGCAGCCGGCCTGAGCCCGCTGGACTCCCTCACTGCTTCCTTTGGAGGGCTGGGGGGTCTCAGCCCCCCTTCAGAGCTGGGGACAGGGCTCAGCGGATGGATGCTAGAGGCAGGGGCAGCCCTAGGGCTCTGCCCTAGTCTGCGAGAGGCCCTGCGGCCCCAGCCCTATACAGAGATACCAAAAACAGCTGGGGATGCCCCCAACTCTTTCCAGCTCCAAAGCAGCCTCAGTGCCAGGGGGCTCCAGCAGCCTCCTCTGCCACCCTCGGTGGGGGTCTTCAGTGAGCTCCCCCTGAGTGCCACCAGGCCCAGGATGGTTTTGATGCTTCAGGTCCCTGCCCTGTGCCCCCAGGGGGCTGGGGGTGACAGGCGCATTCACCCCAATCTACAGAAAGAGATTTAATCTCTCCTTGCCCCCGCAGCTGGGGGCTGCCCTCGGTACAAGTCAGGGCGCCCACCTTGGTCCATAAAGAGCTTTAAGGTCTCGGCTTCAGGCAGGCATCACCTCAAGGGGGATGGTCTCTGGGTGGGCACGAGCCCAGGCACACACGCTCCCTGCCCAGCCTTTTCCCGCCTTGTGCGAGACAGGCGTGGAGTGGAGGAGTCGGGCCCGGGAAGATGGCAATGTGGTGGGGTGGGGAGAAGGGCCCGGTGTGCCCGCGCATTGCACGCCCCTGAGCTGCCACGGCTCTGGCTCGTGCAGAGCTCCTAGCACAGGGGCTGGAGAAGCTGCTTCCAGGGCAGCCCCCCGTCGCTGCCAGCTCTCCGCAGCTCTTCTGTCTCTGTGCCCGGGATGCCCATTGCACGTCCTGCCTTGACACCCCTGTGCCCTCCCAACAGCTTGTTACACCCACCTCCCTGATGCCCCCGTGCTGTTGACCCGAGCACCCCTCCTCGTCCCCTTCACGTGGGCCACCGAGATTCCCTGTAGCAAATCCGCCTTCAAGGGCAGGAACCGGCTCCGTCAGCACAGTGCTCGCTTGCACCCAGGACACTGGCAGGAAGCTTTGCCAGGCTCCAGCCTCTCACCCAAAGCCAGCCCTCCTGCCCCTGCCCCTGCCCCTGCCCCAACCGGGGGCTGTTGTTCCAATGCTCTGATTTAATAAAACCTTCCGCCTTGGTATCATCTCCGGCGTGTGTGATGTACGGAGTAGGGAGACGTGGTCTGTGAGGAAGGGCGATCCCAGCACCTCAGTGGTGGCTTGGCAGGTCTACCCTAACTCCATGCACGGCGCTAGGATTCCCGGGTTTCTCCTGCGCCCATTCCCCCGAGGAATAGGGCAAGAGCCGCTAGCAGGGCAGGCAGCTCCTGTACGCCGGAGGGGCACAGGTCTGCCCTATAGGCTCTGCCATAATGTCCAGGGGGAGTGGGGGCAAGTCTCTGCCCCTTTCTTTGCCCCCAGGAAGGTGAGGATAACGGTGCTGGCCCTGGCTGTCCTGGGACCCCGTGCACCGCTGCCCTCTGCTAGGTAGGTTCGGAGCAGCTCGCTGCGTGTCCTGTCGTGGACCCTGACGGGGATTCTCCCGTGGCTCAAGCACCAGGAGGAAGCAGGTGGCTGGTGAAGACCCTGATTGCCCAGGGATGTGCTGACGATGTTCACCTGCCCCCAGAGGCGTGGGGGGAGGGGACCTTAATTAATGGGGGAGCCCTTCCTTGCAGCGTGGTTGGAGCTGGTGAGGAAACCATGCAGAAAGGGCGAGAGGCTGCACCAACGTCAGTGAGGATGAGCTTTGCTCGCACTGCGGCTTCCTGTTTCCTCCTGAGGTCCCGCCAGCAGATTTGGAGGTGTCAGCCGTGTGAGACCCCCACTCCAGGGCTTTTGGAGGAGGGGGGAGCTGTTAACCCCAGCCACAAGCCTTGGCCTCCCCCCAGAAGCTGGGATGCCGCTGTTAGGGGAGCTGCTAGCTCGTGCCCAGGTGCGAGGGGCGCAGGGAGGACGGACGGCTGGGGCAGGAGCTGCTGGCTGTCCCCGGCTCGGCTGCAGGGGGGTGCAGGAGCCCTGGCTTCCGGGCAGCACCTCCGGCCCAGGCTGGGCTGGGGCAGAAAGCTCCTGAGGCACAGCTGGCTCTCATCATCTCCCGCTGTGGCATGGCCCATGGGTCAGCCCTGCTACCCTGGGAAGGAATGGAGGAAGGAGCTGCCGCAAGCTCTCGCCCTCCCGCTCTGCGTCCGTGCACGTGGAGCTGGGGCAAGGGCCGGGGCCCTAATGCTCCACGACCTGGCCTCCCTAGCACCTTCGCTCGGCGCTACGGGCTGGCTGTGTCGTAGGGGCAGGTGAAGCGTCCGGGGCAGGCGACTGTCTATAAGCTCCGCGATCACAATTGCCAACAGGGCAGCGGCTCTCGCCTCTTCCTGGCAGGAGCAAGGCTGTTCCCCGGGCACCCCTTTAGCGTCGCTTCCTTCTCCGCGCAGCCCAGAGCAGCTCCTGGACCTGCTCTGGGGCTGTCCAGGATCGGGGCCAGTCCTGCCTGCCAGAGACGGGCCCTGGGACTATTGAAAGTCTTAAATGTCCATCTAGGTCTTAGGGCCACCCCGGTCGGGCGGCCGATGGCGGTACCGGCGTCCGGCTGGCGACCGGACAGATGACTCACAGGAACAAAAAAATCTTCAGGGGCCGCCACTCTACAAGTGGGCGGCTGGGCTCCCGAAAATTACACAAACATTGCGGGGGACAACTAAAAGAAAACCAGGGTGTGCGTGTGGGGTCAAAGGTTCAAAACAAGTGCTCCCCCGGGGGTCAGTGAGCAGAGCACCCCGAACAGCGCCCACCGGCAGACAAACTGCTTTAGCTTGCGGGCAGCACCTCCTGGCTGCCCGTATTGCAGACCGGGGAGCTTGGGCTCCCTGTGCAGTCTCCTGGCCCCTCCTCATGGACAGCGTGAGACGTGCAACCGGGGCCAGACCAGGGGGAAGATAGCCCAGGGCAGAGCTGAAAGAAGACCCAGGAGGCTGGGGGCAGAGGGCGCTGCGGATGGGGTGCTGGCTGGGGCAGGGAGCTGAGCCCTGGGGCAAGGGGGCTGTGGGGTGCGGCCCTGCGAGCCCCTGTCCCCTGGGCTCCCACGTCGCGGTGGCAGATGAAGGATCTCCCCGTGCAAGCGCTTTTATCGCGAGCGGCCCTGGAGACCCTGCTCAGGGCTTCATCAGGGCTCTGGTGCCCCCAGCTCCCGGGGCAGGTGCTGGCCCCAGGCCGTGGCTCCTGGGGGACCCTCGTCTGCACGCTCCGTCCCCCGGGCACCGGGCTGTTTGCTGTTGTCTGCACCAGCGCCTGGGCGAGCCTCTCCCCACGGGCCCAGGCTCCCGAGATCCGCCCTGTTTGCTCTCTAAATAAACAGCCAGTGCCTGGATCCGTGCTGGGAGTCCCCGCACCTGCCCCCCTCCCCGAGTCTGGGTTCACCTTTGTGCTGCTCTTCCCTCGCTGCACACCTGTCTCCGGGCTGCGGTCCCTCTCATGTGACCGGGCTGGTTTGCAGCAGCTCTGGGAAACAGCCCCGTGCCCAGCCTGGCACGGCTGCGCTGGGGTCGGGCTTCAGAGCCAAGAAGGGACGGCTCCCGGCTGAGGCGTGAGGGGCCAGCCACGTGGGATAGCAGGGACCTGGGCTCCTGGCTCGCCCATGTCCCTCCGAGCAAGGGCCCTGCCACAGGATGCACGCCCTGCCAAGAGAGGGGGCATCTGGAGACGCCTCTCCTGGCTCTTCTCCAGAAGCGAGAGCAGCCTGAAGGATCTGCAGGGGCAGGAGGACAGCACGGACGGTCCCATCTGCGCTGGCACCTGCCAGGATGGCAGAGAGAAGGACAGGAGGAAGCAGAAGGGCAGCAAGCAGTCCAGGGCCTTGGCAAGGTGAGTCCTCCAGGCCGGGCACCAGGGAGGGAGTTGCCTGGATTTGCCCATCTGCGCGATGGGCATAGCCACTCGCATGTGACAGGACTGTTTGCACACACGTGACACATGGGGAGGTTGGGACAGTGTGCCCTTGTGCACGGACTAAGCATGTTGTGTTGTGAGCAAGGAGGAGGTGTGCGACTGACATGCCCATGTGTGTGCGATGGTGACCCAGGTGTGTTTGCACACATGTGACATCCACGTGGAGTTGTGATAGCATGTCACCCATATGATTGCACTTGTGTGTGTGTGTGTGTGTGTGTGTGGCATGTCAGCACGTGTTAAGGGGCCTGTGGTGTGATGAGTACATTTGTCGTGGGTGTTTGCAAATACGCAGACGTTTGTCATGTATTCATATATGCGTGTGTACGTGCATACACAAGCATGCATGCACACACGCACCCGCTCTGCCCAGCAGGAGCTGCCCTGGAGCTGGCAGGTGATGGCGGTGGCTGGCAGGCGGCGGCTGGCTCTGTCCCCAACACCTATTCCCGGGCAGCAGGGAGGTGGGAGCTGCCCCTGCCCGTCCGGCTCCACTGGAGGGGCCAGTCTGCGCCCCCCTCTCTGCGTGCACAGCCAGGAGCTGCCCAGCCCTTCCCCAGGGGGACGGCGTCTGCAGCTGGGCCCTACACACCTGGGCTCCATGGGTGCCTACAACCGATCCCGTAGTACGCTGCTGTGCCCCAGGTCCTGGCCCCTGGTCCACACACGATCACTGTGGCCCTCCTAACTGCTCCGTGTACACCAGGCACATGGCAGGACCCATCTCATGTGCAGCCTTGGCATCTGGGCCGTGTGGGTGCCCCGGTGGGGTTCAGCCCCAGGCAGGGGCATCCCCCATGCCCAGACCTGTGATCTCTAGCTTTCTGCCCCCAGCACCTCCTTGACTCTGTGCTTCTCTCTAGGACGGACAAGCAGGACAAGACAGTGGCTGGGGGGCGGCACAGCCTGGAGCCCCCCATCCCCAGCAGGCCCCCAAAGACGTCGTCAAAGGTGAGGGGACCCCGAGGGCATGGGCGGCTGTTTTGTTCAGCCTGGGATGGGGCCAGCTCCGATGATACGGGCCCCCCAGGCACCTCAGAGCTGCCCTATAGCTGCCCCGAAGAGAAGGGCTTTCCATTCACGACCGCGCTGGCAGGGAGCGCGGCAGCATCTGACACGAGAGACCCGGCAAGCAGCTGCTTCATGCCCAGAGTGACGGCCAGGCCCTGCTAGCTGGCCCCGCTCCACCCACGCGGAGCCCCACCCTGGGGACCCGACCCCAGCAGCAGGTGGAGAAACTGAGGCACAGGGAGGGCTGTAATTGCCCGGCTGGCTCACCGAATCAGGGACTTGGGGGGCCTCCCCTCTTCCTCCCTGTGCCCGCCAGGACCGTGTCCCCTTTGGGAAGGCAGGCGCGCAGCGGTACTATGGGGCGCGAGTCAGGGGAGGAGACCCCCAGGTCAGCACCGAACCCAGGAGTCCAGGCTCGCCAGACACCCCCTGCTTTGACAGCCAGGGTGCCCCGTGACCCCGGCCTGCTTCGCCCCAGGATCTCTTGTCCCCTGTGTCCCGCGGGTGACCCGGGGCAGGGGCAGCAGGGCGTTTCCCGTGGGGCGAGCCTGCCCCCTGCCGGCCACGCGGGAGAGCAACAAGGCACCGGGCACCTCTAGACCCAGGCCAGCTCCCACGGCCTCTCCGGGGGCGTTTCCAGAAGCCGGGCCTGGCGTTCCCCTCCAAGCCGGTCTTGCCTTTGGCGGG